CGTTTACCGTTACTACCTTACCGTACCGTACGTACCGTACCCTACCGTACCGTACCTACGTACGTACCTACTACTACTACTCCTACTACTCTACTACTACGTCTCTCTCTCTCTCTCTCTCTCTCTCTCTCTCTCTCTCTAAAAAGAGTTGTCTTTTGTGTAGAATGTAAATTATAAGTCTCTCTTTGACAGAGCACAAGGAACTTAACTGAGAGAGAAGAGAGAATTAGTGACGATGTTAACACTAAGAGAGATGGAAACTCTTAATTACAGGTCTCTGATTGGAAGGAGAGAGATCGTTTTGTAGAGAGAGAGTGTGTTTTGTAGAGAGAGACTGCCTTGTGGGGCTCTCTCATTGGAGTGGGTTTGAAACTGAACCACGTGGCACTTATCTAAGCTCTATTCAGGTTTTTCTTGCTTCTATGACAAGGAGAGAGACTATGGAAGAGAGAGAAAGAGAGGGGAAAAAGACGGCCGCCGCAGCAAAATCATGTGCCCTCAACTTTTATGAATAATGATAAAAGGATCCCCTGCTTTATGAATAGCGCAGTTTGGGTTTAGTGTAAGGACACGGTTTCTACGGTTCATGGTACTCGGATATAAAAATGAGTCCCCAGTTGTGACGGATTTTGGACTTAGTTTTGAATATATAAGTGAAAAATTTATATAAGGGTGAGGCCCTGAGCAATTAAAGTAAGGTGCACCTCAAAAATTTTGGTTTAATGCTGAAAAATCTCAATTTGATTATCTCGATTTCAAGATGTATGCACAGGACATAAAATAAATTTGAAGTCTTGGAAATAATACTCTTTGTATTGCATTATTTGGATCGTTAATTTTCAAGATTTTTAATATTTCATAGATATGCTCGATCTATACTATATTTGAATATTTAAATTTTATAATTAGAGTTAAAAATAAATTTTCAACCCATCATAAACATTTTTTATTAATACGTTTAAAAATTGAGTAAAACTTACATTTAAAAAACTAAACATGATAATTTTGTGAACTTTTATATTGTTGGTTTAGGGATCACCCGATGTTTTATGCCTCCCGCAAATTTAGGAATGCATCCCAATGCATACAAAAAAATTTCTTACCAAAGTGTTCTAAAGTGCACTTCTAATAAATCGTATTTCCTCATGCGAGAGTACGGGTATATTTTGGTGGACCACAAAATTAGGGGTGGCAATGGGCCTGACTAGACCTGGGAACCAATAGGTATACCCGACCTCTGGTCCAGGTATGGGTCCAAATTTTAGACCTAAATACTATATCAGTTTGTGTCGAGTCTAACGGGACCCGACCCATACCCGTAGTTATAGAGTATATGATGGTAATTATGTGTCTTTAGGTGTACGCCACGTATTCATATTATCATAATAGTGGCAACATTTACAGTATTATTGGAAACAAAAAAAAAAAAGAAGCACATAGTCATAGGGTATATGATGGTAAAAAAAAATAATAAAAAAGAAGCTCATAGCCATAGAGTATATGATGGTAAGAAAAAAAGAAAAAGGAAAAAAAGATGCTCATAGTCTTAAGGTATATGATGGTAACTTCTTTTTTAAAATGCAAAATCCTATAGATTTAAGTGTCACAACAATTGAAAATTTTTATTTGGATTTTGTGCCCAACAACATGATTTTACATGTACCAGTTGATATTGATTATAACATATTTGTATCAAAAGTAAATAGTTTTATTTTTTTTTCTTTTTTGACAAATATTGCATTTCTAATCTATTTGAATTATTATAAAAGAGGCAATACAATAAGACTATTTATTTGTGGTATAAGGAGATCATAATCATCTTTCGGACATTGATGTAAAATTAGGTAGATAGGAGTGTGTCTCTGGCACTAAGTTCGATTTTTTTGAAATTTTAGATATGCAATGCTTCTAGATTTCATGTGTGACAATCAAAAGTAATTATGATTTTCTTGTACGAAAAGAGAAATGATCTGATTGTATGAATTCCCCGTTATACTACTAAAGATAAAAAAAAAGATCATTTTTTTTTGTTTGTTTCCTTAATTTTTCTTTTCTTGCAGTGTGACCTCTTCTACTTACAGAACCTTGGATATTACTTTGCAGCCGTTGAAACATAGAACCCAAGCAAAAAAGTCCAGATTTGATATCAAAGGTATAATGCAATCTCACAATCACTAAGAATAATTAAAAAAGTGAGACCCACCATTAAAGTTTTCGTAATTGTTCATCAAACTGTCATATCATCCATACTTCTTTATTACAGGCCACATTCATTTTAGCATCATAGTATCTCTTTTATGGAAAAAGATTTCAGTGGTTGTGCTGACCAATAAAATATGGTTAAGGTGACCTTTTAGAAATTCGTATAATCTTTCTCTTGTTCAACTTTCGGCAAATACCTGAAAGAGCACATATACTATGCTCCCTCAGGAGCATATATTGTACATGTACTCTTTCGGTCAGAAGACCTACTTTGGAGGACTTTTTAAATTTGAATTTTGAAAACTACTTAAGAATCATTACATGATCAATTTCAAAAATAAAATTTGAAGTTTGGGTTTTCTAACACTTTGATCTGAAATTTTGAGATTATTTTAATTTTTTTCAATTTGGAATTTTTTTATTGAGATTATTTTCATTTTTTTCAATTTTTTTTTTTTTATTGAGGTTAGTTTATGCGTTGAAGAGATTATATCTGCAAAATTTAGAGTTATAAGAATAAGTGTAGATTGGGTTTTAACCGAGGGAGTAAATACACAGCATACTCCCATGTGAATATGGAGTTCATTGACCTCTAAAGGGAAGGGAAAGAAAAACTAGACTTCCAAGCTCTCAAAGCTCACATAGCGCATATATTCTTTTTGCATTTACATTCAGGAGTATAGTTTACTTTTACACTGAACTTTTTCAATCTGAAATTTTGGGAACCACTTAAAAATTACAAGATGATTATTCTGAAAATAAAAAATTTGAAATTTGAGTTTTCTAGCAATGAGATCTCACCATTTGAAAATTGGATCGTCTCTATTCAATCTTGAGACATTATTTTTTAAATGTGTAGAGGGTACAATTAGATTTTTTTTTTATTTTTTATTTTTAAGACTAATATATGGTTGAATAGGTTACATATCAAAAATTTAGGGTCCTAAATTTAATTTTGGATTGGGTTTTACACAAGGGAGTAAATTGATAATATACTCTCACGCGAGTATGATATTTTTTGGCTTTACATATCATAAGTTTCACACTTAGTACTTACCTATATGCTTAAGGATGTGTATGTCATTTGAATAAAAAATAAGGACACGGTTTCTATGCAGCCAGTCCACGTATTGTAGAAATGCGGGCTTGACAAATAATATATTTTTTAAATATAATTTGATCCTGCTTCTTAGAGGATATATAATGAAGATCATGAATATGAAAAAAAAAAAATATTGAAAACTAGGAATAATAATTATATTAAGAAAGGGAAAAGTTTATATAAGGTTGCAATCTTAAAATGTAGAATTACAAATACATCTCAAAAATCCATCGGAAATTTTGTTTTAATATTGAAAAAACCTCTAATTGATCATCTCGACATCGAGATGTATGAATATGAAAAAACAAAGAGATTTTGAGTCTCATAAATAGTGCATCTTGCAATACATTATCTAATATTTATAGATCTACTTGATTTTAACCATTTTTAAAATTAAAAATTTGTAATTAGATATAAAAATAGATTTTGAAATAATCCTAAAAAAAGATTCACCAAAATTACATGCTATAAAATTTGAAGGTAGGCCTTAATTGAATTGTTTAAGGTTGCAACCTTATAGAAACCACACCCATAAAGAAAACATTTGGGCCGTTAGTTACACTTGTTTTTAAATGGATTACCTATTTGCATCCATCTTTAAAATGGATGTTTTATACCTTTGGATTGCATATTGTAGCAATGCGGTCCAACCCACATGAAACAATTTTCCAAAAAATAATGGCAATTTAGTTTTTTAATGGGAAATACAACGTTATTCATTAAGGTTGGCAAGAACGAGATTAGAACATAAAAGTAAAGAAATGGCGCATTCGCACTCGCAGTTGCCCTCTGAGCATGAGCTTCGTGCCACACGTGTCAACAATTTCCTTTTTTTTTCTTCATTGCCCATAGATATGTAGGCACACTTAACGTGAGAAACAGTGGTACATTTTTTCTTGTGTGCTAACTTGCATGTATCTCTATTCATCTAATTCAATTTAATTAGATGGTGTAGATTATATTGTAATTGTACAATCTGTCCAACAACATTACACAGTGTAGATGGTGAGCATTTGCCCACATAGCAAACAGGTCTAACTAGATTATAATGATAATAGTGGTTAAGGATGCAAATTTAAGTATAATCACGCTTGCTGACAAGTTAGGGCATGCCCTCGAGCTTTGGGCTAGGTCTGATTCAAGGCCATACAAGAAAGCTTGGGGGCAAGCTGGGCTGGGCCGGCCCACATTCAGGTCCCCTAGCACAACATTATGTAAAAAACATATTAGATATAATTGGTTTTTTATACAATTTACATGAACCCGGCCTGAGCCAGCTTTTATTTATTTATTTATTAGTGTCAAGCTTGGCTTGGGCATCAAGGCTTTAGTTTCGGGCTTGTGTCCAAAGCGAAAACAGATAGCGGTTCTCACCTAACCATTGCATTTTCGGACCAGGTCTGGCCGACCCAAGAGTGGCACTTGCAGCCTTATTAAGAGTATCATTATTTTATTTTAAAATTTTCTTTATGTTAATCAATTGAAATTTCTATGTTTCCAACCATAAAGTATTTCCAAGTTTCATATATTTGTTCTATATTTTTAAGAGGTGTACTGTTGTTGGGAGTATA